ATAATGCAGTCATTTAGCTCCAATAAAGAACTGAAACAAGAAGATACCGAATACAGAAATATGAGACAGTGTGGAATAAGAGGATTTTTCTGATGTTAAAGATACTTAAATTTAAAAAGGAAAACTGCATGTTATGTGTTTTTAAAATATTGTTTAGTATTATTGAAGAACAATTCTGAGAAATGTTAAGTAACAGTGGTGCCTTTGAAGGCAGTTGGAATTATTGAGAAATTCAAAAGTTCCTGTTTCCTGCGGTTCTGAACAACTTAACATAATGCAAAAAATAAAAGTCGTTCTTAGTTTTTGCAGTCAGACTGACACAACTAGATTATTTGAGACCTTCATAGTTTTCATGTTTAAAATGTCTGATAATTAGTTTGTCCCATTTCATCTGTAAAAACAGAACCAAAGTTCTGTTGTAGATTAATGTATCTAAATGATGGTGAAGATACTGTAGCTAAATAAAAAACAAATCACACTGACATGAGCGAGCATTATACCACTTAAATAAAAGCTGCACAAACATGAATACACAACTAGTCTTGTTTGAAGAACCTGTTCTGCATTTAAGGGGGCATGTAGAGAATTCTTAAAATAGAAAATATGATGTTTATGAGGGCGTTTTGATATGTTTATCTACATTTCTAAACATGAATAATTATAGTCAAAAAATAGTAGCAGCATTTAAAGCAGTTTGTGTCTGTCTTTAACACATTGCCCTTTGATTTAGAGAAGTCAGACACAATCCGCATATCAATATAATTATGTTTAATCATTATTCAAATATGCCCTTTTAAAATGTGACTAAGGTAAATGATTTCCCCGACACTCACCAGCAGAGGGCTCCAGCAGATGCAGGAGGTGACCATGATGCCAACCAGCTGGACCACCATCTCAGTGTCATGGGACCTGGCCGAGCGGTGCTGGGAGCAGGACCTTTTCATTACGCGGGCTCTCACTAGCGTGATCCCACTGATGGTGTTGCACACAAAGGCCAGGGCCAGAGAGCTCAAAGCCAGTCCAGAAAACAGCATCACAAAAACCAGATCTGTCACTCCAGTGTTCTCCATCACCCTGATGAAGCACCACGTCCCCGGGTACTGGGAAGTGTAGGTACCCAGGCTGAAGAAGGGTAGAAGGGCCACAAATAAAGCCAGTAGCCAGATCAGGGTCAGTGCCATCTTTGTCCGTGCTGTGGTCACCAGACGAGCGTGCAGCAAAGGCTTGGTGACACCCAGACAGCGCTCAGCGGCCATGGCACAGCCCAGGAATAGAGGGCACAGGCCAAAGAACACCATGCAACCTCCCAGAAACAGACAACGGGTATCCGGACTCTGAGTATTATCTGGAGAATCAGCTGAATATCTCCCCAGTACGAAGGCTCCAGCAATAACATGTCCTGCCAGATCTGTTGCCACCAGAGAGCTGGCAAAGAGGAGGAAAGTGGCTTTTGACCGCCGACGGAAGCGGTTGTAAGCCTTGGCGAGAATGATGAGAGCCACCACGTTGAACAGGATGCCCAGACTCATGGAGAAGATGGCACTGGTGGGAGTGTTACGGGTGGCATTATTATATACTCGGGAATCGACCCCAGGCTGCCCCATGGTGGTGTTGTTAGAGGGGGGAAAGGGGCTGATAATGCCCGAGGAGTTGTAGTGCTGCATCGCCAGCATCACCGCTGGGCTCTGGGCCTGATGTGGTTTTTCTGGTTGAGAAGATACTGAAAAGGAAAAAAAAGACTCGATAAGCATGCTGACTGATACAGGGTTGTGTGAATGGGGTGAGGATCTTCTTTGATTAAAAAAAAACTCCAATATCTCGGCAGTACTGAACTGTTCCCCAATTTAAACCTTCTCTGGAACAATATTAAAACCACAAATAAACTTTATAGAGAGCCTCTCTCTATGTGAGCACAGATGGTTGCGTTAAAGACACTGACATATTTGAGCTGTAATATTTTTTACCCAGATTCAACATTTAAAAATAAAAAAGAGACCAGATAATGTAATATGGGTGGTTGTATAACTGTATATTGTCTGTCATTTAACCAACAAAATAACCTTCAAGGGACCATTTATGTAACTATGAGCAATATCAAGGTAAGTCTAATATAAAATACAGATGGGGGGTGAAAAATTAAAAGATGCCCAAGACTCACCCCCTTTCCTCTCGTCCCCTCTCTCAGAAAAGTTAAACTACCCCATCCTCAGTCAAATGAAGACTTGTATTACCCTCCTGTTTTTATGCTACCACTAATAATTACAGTCCCTCAAATATTATCTAAATATTATATCAATATTATATCAATATTATATCACATTGGGGGATCATTTCAAAGTATTTCATCACTGACTCAACTTTAAAACAAAGTTAGTTCTTAGCCCATTTTTTCCCTCACTTCTGTCTTCACAAGAGCAAACACGGGAAGTCTGAACATGTTCTGACAGTTTCTGTTGACACTGAACGCTGCTGCACACATTCCTCTAAAAGTATGGTTACTATGTAGCAGCAGTAATCACCAGTCAACAAGTCATACATACAATAATCTGAGGCATTGGGGAAAATTGTACATTTATTTACGCTGTTTGTGTTTGATTAGATATACTTGAAGAAGGAAGGCACAGTGATAGGTGATACATATTGCTTAATATATATTATGTAACTGCCTTTCAAACTGATTGTGTATTTTTGTGTGTTTAATGTTTTTCTATTCTTTGTACGTATAGATTTCATTTATATTTCTTAATTGTTATATATTATATAATAATATATAATGCTACACACATGAAGGCAGCCAGACAATATCTTTGTTGAAGATAGAGTTTAAAGAAGAGTTTAACCCATTTTTATAGTTGATGCAAGAGATCCAAATGTGTGCGTATATATTCTGACCACAAATATTTACAATAAATCCAAACTGTAAATGTTGCCATAAAATATTTTCAGTATTTTTGTTAACATTTTAACATAATTTTTCCAAAAAAATGTGAGAAAACTTGAATGATAGCCCCGGGGCATAAAATGTGTCCTTTGTATTCAGCTTTACATGCAAGATATTTAACCTTACCTGGTTTGAATTAAGAAATCCATGGAGATGGTCAGGATCACTTTGGTTTTGACAAATACTCATAACTGAAGCTACTTAAAATAACTGAATCCAGGTTGTTCTTGATATCCTCTTGTGTTGTTCCAAAGTAAGAGCACTTCGTCATCTGAAGGGTTTCCTTATTCAGCAACGAAGTAGAAACTCTACTCTCAGAACAAGCAGCCTCCCTGTAACAGTGTACAAGCGTGTCCTCTCTTACTCACTGCAGCTGGCTGCTTTTATACAGCAGAGCTGCACTGAGCCCACGTCGCCTCTGGGTGTCTCAGTCAGTGAAAGCAGTTACTTCCTTGTAGCAGTGACTCCCCAGAGTGGACAGAATGAATGTGCCAATCAGATAAATCCCGGAGTCAAATATGAATATGTAAAATTCAGCTGCTTCGCACCTGTTTCCACCTCAACTAACAGTTATGGGATGTAGGGGCTTAAGTATTAAACCTATAACAACAACAAGAACCTGTAGGGTTTAAAATTTAAGGGCAGACCTGCTTGAGGCTGCGGGAAAAAACTAATTTCAAGTATTGTTTTTATGAGCAGCAGTGATGTAGTTTTTAACTTAAATAAGGATGACTTCATATCGCAGCAGCTTAAGCAAAAAAAAAAACTTTAGGTAGTTGAACCTGCGTTACAAACTTGCTTTCACTGTTTATCCCTCGTCTGTTAATTCTACATTAAAACACTCCCCTTGCTCCTCTGAGCCTCATCTGAACAACCTCAAGAGCCCTGTGGTCAGCGCTCATCAATGTAAACCAGCTTTGTTCCTGCCACTACAAACATCTCTGACACAGTCTGTAGCTGCAGCTGTGACTGCAGATGATTTTCCAGTTCTCGAGAAGACTGGCCAGACTGTTGCTGCTGATGCTGCTGCTGGGGAAATTAGGGTTTAATGCTCTGGGCCTCGCCTCAAGGAGAAAAAAAGCACACTGCACATTTAAAATCCCAGTATTATGCCGTGACAAGCATGGCGAATGAACAAACTATTTGAGGCTGCGGTGCCAAATGATGAAAAGCTTCTCGAGTTCCTATCATCACCAGTCAGACATCTGAAATTCCTCCTCCAGTGAGAGGTCTTCTAATTTCACTTTCACCTTCCGTCAAAACAGTAGAAGGAATCTGCGCTAATGTACACAATACGGCTCTTTGTTCATACATACTGCAGCTGTGTGTTGAAAAACGTCCTCTTTGCCTGCAGGGACTGGAACATGTGTGCATGTACTCATGACATAAAAAAACCCCAGTTGTTTTAATAATGTGTTTTAAAAGCACATATCTGAGATTGAATTGTACATTATCTGTGCTTGTCTGTGAGTACTTGCAGGTATGTAAGGCCTGCCAGAGAGTTAGACAGCATGCCATTAGAGACAGGTGCAGTTGCAGTAGTATTAGCAATTTCCTTGTCAGTCTGTTGTGTTATTAAACCTGCAGCCTGGCTAGGATTAACACCTGAGTTGGCTAAATGAAAGAACTCGGGTTAATGAATACAAAAGGAGGCTGAGGGAAGAGACGGCGCAGGAGAGGGATCTGCTGAGAGGACAGGGCTATTGGTATCAGGGAAAATAGGGAGTCATGATCATCTGCTAATTTATTTATTTTTATAAAGAAAATGGAGCAAAAAACTGTTCATTTTCTTTGGTAGCGACATAAAAAGCTATGAGAGATGTGCCTTTTGAGGCTTTATTTACAGTAGCATACAAAGAAATCTGGTTTATTTGACCATGAGAGGACTTCATGAAACATATTTTACAATATGTTACAACAGTTTCAATACAAATGCAAATCTAACTTGTTTAAATCAAGGTTAAAGGGTTTATAACCTCTGCCACAAAATGTCTAATTCACTTGGCTTTGAAGAACTTTTTTCATCTCTGTGTGTGCCATTGTCTGCAGACACAAACATGGAAAGACTGGCTTCGCAGTGTGGTAGAGAAAAAAGGTGTGTTTTTGAGATTTCAGTCATTTGCTGCTGTATCTTAACTCCACATGGATGCCATTTACTTGTGTAGCCATGTTGATTGCATTTTTTTTATTTGCACCAAAGGGACACACCATAAAAAGGCAAACCACACGCCAAAACAGCTGTAAATAAGTCTCTCAAGTGGTTTTGTATTGTACACTACACTGGACAACAACATACATCAATTTAAGAATAATTCTAACGTTTCTTCCCTGATTGAGGGGCCTCAGACACAAGGAGCACCAGCTTGTCGAGGGTTGTTTCTTGGCTCACTTCATTGCACAGGAATCTGGCTGGCTGAATGACACTGGCTTTAGACCAAAAACACCCAGAGTTTGTGTGTTTTTACAGCGTCTGTGTGTTCCTGAGGGTCATTGTGTTCACTAAATTTCACCTTTTTTGTGTGTCCATCCAAAAGCCAATGTCCTGTCTTTCACATTTTTCTCTCGACTGTGTCATACTGTTTAACATAACACTCTTTCTGTGACAGACCCTCCTCGGCTTTACAGTTTTAAATAATCCCCAGCAGTCTGGTCAAATATGGTTGGCTGCATTTCATCTGTCACATCATTCTCTGCATTTCTGTAAAAACAGCCGCAAAAAATTCCAGGATTTATTTGTTTGAAATCTCATGCTTTCAGTCCAAACATTTTTCTATAATTATCATGCTTGTTGGTTTTTATACACAATCAATTGTTTACAGGGGAAAGTGCATTTTAATGAAGTAGTCTTAATAATGGTTTGATTATTTCTCCTTGTTGCAAAGTCTCTTTGGCATTTAATCTTAAATGATATCTTTATAGGCCCAGCTGGATTTGCATAATGATTTCAATACTTGTGTGTCTCATAAAGATCTTGCTCTTCCATTTGGTTGTGGATACCCAAAGTAAAGCAAGGCTAGATACATAAAGTAATGTATTCAAATAACCCTCTCACTCTCCCCACCTACACAGTCCTGCTACAGATCACTCTAATCACCCCTCAACCGACAACATGTGGTGAAAGCATATTCAGCTGTGGTCGTGGGGTCATGAGAGAAGAGAGAAGTTAGGGAATTGGATGTTTTTGAGTCATTTCAGAAGAAGAGAAAACACGATTTAATTCTGCAGAATGATGGTGTGTGGCCAAAGGGTCGTTTCCCTGGAAGTAGGTCCTATCAGATTAGGACACCCCTTCTCTTGTATTTTTTCCCTTTTTTGGTATGTGAACAGTGAATACCTCTCACTGCTAAATACCCAAAGCTCCAAAATGTCCCAAATGTCCAGCTTCTAGCTTCTATTCTACTGCACTGCCAGATGCATTTTGTGTTTTTGCATAGTATAATCAATTTCAAGATGCATAGAATAGTGTAATGGTATTGCTACAGAGCATCCTGGGTTACTGTATGAACTTAATGAGGAAACAGAACTCATTAATATTATAGATACATTTTAAGAGAAATTCACAAAAGCTGAATTCTAAATAATTTACACTTGATGTTGCCTATTTATGTATCGGAGCCTGTATGTCCCAGTGGAAGTTTGTTTGTCTTATTTCAGAATGTAATGTCTTAATTGTTATAGCAAAGAGCTGATTTAGATTTGCTCCCCAGTAACTGAATTTAATCCCAACAAGTGACCAGTGTCATGTTCAATTTCCCAAGTTTATGACGAAGCAAATTTCCTGAAAATTGGTTCAGGATTAAGCAAATTATAGTCGATTTTATAGTGAAGCCTGGATCTTTTTATACACATTA